TAGAGTTGGCGGTGAAGACTGGGGTAGGTTAAATAAGAACGAAATCAGGGGTTCACTTCCTCAAAGCGAAAGTAACAAACACTTGCTTCAGCTGAGCCCTAGTATATCAGGCGGCACACTTGTACAAAGTGCTATATTTATCTGGATGCACACACGCACTATTGTATTTGATTTTCATTTTACTAGGTGCTAGAAGAAGGAAGAGAAAGTGTTTCCAAAATAGCCTATTGGGGAAATTAAACCTCGGTTTAAAACGCGCAATGACGACAATGGCTTTGTTATCAACGACTGGGACACGAGCCCGCGCGGCAAGGTACAAATAAACTTAACATCCCAGTTGGTCTCCAAGCTGTTGGGTAACTGTGGAAAAATGATTTAGGAATTACAACAGAACCCCTGCAGAACCTTAACTTTCGCAAAAGTTACCGGCTGCAACACGAAAGATGCTGGGGTGTTTGGAGAGAAGGTAAGCAAAATCGGCATCAAAAGTGACGACGATGAAAGACATGATGAACGTAGGCATCTTTTATAAAACGGGAATATTAAGAAAAAAAATACGTCGATGAAATGAAAATAAGAAGACAACGCCTGACGAACAGTGTAAATACTCGAAGCCAGTTAAGTATGAAAATAACTCACTCCGGATGAATTGTCGGCGCTTTTACGCTTATGCGTCGAAACAGTCGAGGGCTGAGTGTATGGGCAGTAAGACAACGGAAACAATAAACTAAAGCACTATTTAAAACAAGTTCACATCGACAGACTTTTAAATGTAGTAGACCGCTCGAAAAAACAGTGCCTTGCGCCAAAATTAGAAGACCTGTTTACGTACATCTTACTCACAGCAGACAATGGACTTTCTTGTGAAAAAAAAATGGAACAGACGCCGGAATCCGGAGTGCGTTTACTTGGCAGCCGCATTTGACATAACAACCCCTAACTGTTACGTCAAACTTCCAGGTCAGTACATATACAACATATTTACATGAAAATCCCATCGACTTGGAGTGCCTCATTAAATTTGTTTGAAACAAAAGAGACAACAGTTTAGAAATTGGGTTAAACGGCTACCCCTTATATTCTAAGAATTATGAATTTGGAAAACTGGCATGCATAAGCTTTGGGGCGCACTTAAATAATTTAAGGATAAGCAAATTCTCTAAACGGGTGACTTGAGACATAGCTGTGATTTGAAATAAGGTTACTCAGAAGGTAACGGGTCCACAGGAAAGGCAAGTAAAAATCAGTTCCCACAGGTTAATGTGTTCATTTCTTCATTTATCTGTGCAAAACGAATCCGGAAAAAGTAATTATCTAGGCGGCATTTTACATGCTAGAAAGGTCTCAGCGCCGTGTTACTTCAGTACAATCAAATAAAAAGTAGGCACGCCAACTTTGGTTTTTGGGCTTTGTTTACTTTAAATTGCGCATTCTACAAAATATGGACTAGAAGGAATTGAGTGTCTCGATATGTAGAAACTCGGGAAATTCACCTGGATGCCGTGGACTGATAGACGTATTTTTAACAATAGCGAAATTTTCACAGCCAAAAGCCGCGAGATAACACCATGTCTTCTAGTAATTATCCGAGTTTGAAGAAACCATATTATTTGTAGCGGCAGTGAACATCAACTAATTGAAACATCCCAGTTAAATAACTTAGCAACCGTTCTTCAGTCAAAAGAACAGGCTACACTGAATAATATAACGTCAGTGTTAAAGTTAAAACAGCGTATGCACCTTCTGCAAAAGAGCCTACTAAAGTGCGGATTTCACTGAAGGGTAAAATGTTAAAGTTCAGTAAAGGAACGAAATACTTGTTCGTAGATTATGCCAAAATACTAAGAAAAACTAGGTTACCCGTTGCAAGGACATAAAGAGTCAATAAAGTGCTACAAAATGATGCTCCACGGTAACTAAGCGCATAATAAATCAGAAAATTCAATTACCAAAATAGCAAGTAACTATTCCACGGATTTCATCTGCTTCAAAATAATTGCAAAAGTTTAACTGATAAATGTACATGGTTTTTAAACAAATTCACAGCGAACATAATTGTAGCAGATTAGATAATGGCGCACTTCAAGATCGTCTCTCTGTTTATGTCCTGTAATTGTTTTGCTTGGACTTTTAGACCTACGGCAACGTTTGATTCGTCTCATAATGCTATCATAGAGTCATGTATGTCTGTTTTTTTTTTACCGAAATCACAATGCAAAAATAAGACTGTTTCACTGCTTAACACCTAATTGAGATAGCGTTTTCGAAAAAATTATCAACTTGAACCACGCCAGACGACCCTTAACTCAAAGTTTCCACGAGTATGACTTACACTATAAAAGAAAATCATTTCCGAATGTATGCACGAACGGAAGGACTGGTCGAACATTATAAATCAGTTTATGTAAGATAACGTATGCAGGATTCATTCTGTACTATTAAAAG